GAGGTGATATGACTTAAATAAGAGGATGTGATTTAAATAGGATATTGACTTTTTAACTTTTGACTTTTGACTTTTTTAGATCATGCCAAATAAGGCCAAAAATAACTTATTTGAAGCTATAAGTTTACTTAAACTAAAAATAAGCTATGCCAAACAGTCACTCTATTACCCCCTACACAATTCCCACTCCTCCCTTATGGTCTATTTTGGTAATTAGGATTTTTTAAGTTTTTTAAATGTATAAAAAGTATAAATGATACATCTTTGTAGTTTGGAAGTTCTAAATAAACCTCTAATGACTTGGCAATGAAAAAAAAAATACAGAAAAAATAAGATACAAACATCACACCATTAGAGCTCTCTAAAACTCTTCTTTTAGAGCTCCCAATCTTTTTTCATTAAAAAAAATAAAGAAAAGACGTAACTTAAACAAGTCAATAAATCAATAAATTATTTTTGAGTAAATTACAAATACACCCCCTGAGGTTTGTTTAAAATACAGATTGCCCCTAGTGGTTTGAAAAATTACAAATATTCCCTTGTTAGAATTTTTTATTTAACAGAATTAACTGAAAAAATGAAATTCATAATTGCACTCCTATACAATAATAAAATTACCTAATCATTAATTGAAACATATTTTTAATATCATTAGAAACTGTTAATCGACTTGATGATTTATTAATAAAAAGAGCGATTTGCTATGAAATTAAAAACTTTAGGGGGTGGAATGTAATTTCCAAAACCCCAGAGACTGATTCGTATTTTAATTAAACCTCAGGGAGTGTATTTGTAATTTATCCATTATTTTTTTAGTTGCCAAAATAAGCATAATCCTATTTATATATGTCTTTGTTTGGGATGTGGGTTGGTTTTTTGACTTTTTTAGTCTGGGGTTAAAAATCTCGTTTGGGATAGAATTTTTAGCCTTTTCACTTTATGAGATAAAAAATGAAATGATTATGGCTTAGATGTGACATTTTGTCTTATTTGGCTAAAACAGCTTATTTTGTCTTATATGGTTATTTTGGCCAAAGTGATCTTCCCAAACGAACCTTATGTGAGCATACATAGGGGCAATTTGGGAAGATTAACTTTTTAGTTTTTTTTAGTTTTTAGTTTTTTTGGGTCATCTCTTTATTTTTATTTTTTTACACAAAAAAGCCAAAAAAATTAATTTTTTACCATTTTTCTACAACACCACATAATCGGTAATTATTCGGTACTCATGAAATATGACAATGTGATACTCTATAATAGAATAATTAGTGGAGAAGATAGAGTATTTGGTAGTCAAATAGGGATGTAAATTTAGGTCGACCCATCTCGGGTCTCGCGAGCTCCCACCAAAATTCAGGTCAGGTCGGGCCAGCCTACAGGCCAAAAAATTAGGCACAGGGGGTATTCGGGCCGGCCTGGTGGCATTGGGCCTGGCCTAGGACTTGGGCAGGCCTGGACATTTTTTGTTTGTTTTTTAAAAAAATTTTAACCAAAATTTTATTATTTTCCACTAAAAGAAAAATACTAAGCCTCGGGTCGGGCCTTGAGTAGGCCTTAAGTGGACCGATGGGCTAGGCCAAGCGGGCCGGGCCCATAGGCCGAGCTGAGTTTCAAAATGATGGCCTAGGGGCTCGAGCCCAGGCCCAAAAGGACCTAAATAGGTCGGGCGCATTTGAGCTGCTCACAGGCCTCGGGCCATTTTTACACTCGTAGATCACGTAATGCTTTATAATAGTATGATAAGTGAAGAAAATAGAGTATGAATTATTTGTATTAAGTGATTGAGAAATTTGAAAGAGCATAATAAATAATGAATATTTAAGACGTCCACAAATTTCTTACAATTAAGTCAATAATAATGTAATTTGATAAATGTTAATTTTAATTAATTATATACTTAGGCCTCGTTTGGTAACAAGTTGCTTTAATAATTTTTTAAAATTTTATAAAAAGATATACAAAAAAATAGAGAAAGTAATGTAACAATTTACAGTAATTTTTTAAATTTTTGATTAAGATGTATAATTAACAAACAAAACCTTAATGATATAAAATTTATCATCCTTATCACATCATTATAAGACCCCTTTTGTTTTCAGAGGTAGAATGAAAAAGATTTATAGTGAGGGGATTAATAGTGAGGGGATTAAGTAAAATTGTGTTTGTTTTGATAATAGTTGTTAGTGTAGGGATTGTTAATTTTATTTTATATAAAATAATAGAACAAATAAAAAAAATACAAAAATGTTAAACATTAATGTTCAAAAAAATAAATAAAATGCCAACATGAAAAAAATAATAAAATAAATAAAACTATGATGTTTACTCAGCAAAAAATTAAAAAAACAAAATGTCCAACATGTAACAAAAAATAAAAATAAAATAGTCAGACTAATTTCTAATACCAAATTCCATGAACCTATCCTAATCCCCTCTCAAAGGGAATTTATAGTCTGGAGGGGATTACAAACCCCCTCTCGATCTCTCAATACAAACATAATATTAGTAAATCCTACCTTACTATAAATCTCAATCCTCATCCTATAATTCAAAACAAACGAGGCTAAATATATTTATATTAAAAAAAGACTGAGACCTTCACTGAAGAGACCCCAGCACTCCCAACAGGTGTTGATTGGCTAAATTTTTATTTATTTTTTTTCTTCACCAATGACCAACCCCCAAATATGTGTGAGTTTGGGGGGTGGGGGTGAAATGAGGGTCTCAATCAGATCTGATTTATATTTATACAATACAACAATGATACACACTTATAATTTTTCATCTCCACCACCTTTCATTCACACGTAAAGGTTAGTGATTGGAGTACAAAAAAAAAAAAATTGGTGATTGGAGTAAAAAAAAAACCGACTAACCAATCCCCTAGCATTATTTTATACAGTAGGCATGCGTACCGGATCAATCAAAAAATCGAAAGCTTTGTTGCCTTGCCCGTCGATCTCTCTCTCTTGTCAAAAAGTCTTTGGAATGGCGTCTGACAGAAAACTAATCAGAACCGTCCAATAAACCTCGTGATTCGGGTTGCAGCACCTTACGCTATTACGGTGAGTGTCATACTCATAGATGTGACTGTCCAAACTTTCATACACTTGATGTGCTCTCTGCTCAACCCGGTAGTACTATGCTCACTGGTAAAATAAAGAAAATGTTTGGGAGCACTCACACTAATTAGGTGGTAGTAGGTCTCGTCATTAATGATGTAATATTTTAATCTTGGAGTTATATTTTTTATTTTTTATTTTTTACTTTTTTAATGCATTAGTACTATTAGTGGTGATACTTTTAGTGTGATGAATTATTGTTGAATAAAGAATGATTGAAATAAATTTATATAGGGGTATTTTGGGGTTAAAAATTAGTTTTTGGTTTTTGGTTTTTTATTTTTTATTATTATTTTATTTTTTTATAACTAAAAAATATAAAAAATGATATGATTCAAAATATATTAAAAATTTACAACTAACTTTTAACTGAGTTATCCAAATAACCCATAATACCTCAATTTTGATATTCCTTGTTTAAAATTATTAGATTTTAATATTTTTTAATTAAAATTTTAGGACTAAATGGTTCAACGTTTCAAAAACTAGGACTTATGGGTAAATTTTCTTTAAAATTATTAGATTTTAATATTTTTTAATTAAAATTCTAAAAAATAATTTTACAAGTATCAAATAAATAATGTGTAATAATATTTTAAAACAATCGAATAATAACTCTTTGGGTGTGTTTAGTTTGTGTTTGTAGAGTAGTTTTTGAGATAAAAAGTACAAAAATTTATTTGATTTGCGTTTTTTCAGTTTTGCAAATTTATTTTGGGAAGAGAGTTTTAAAAAAAGTGATTGATTTAATGTGTATGAGAGATAGAGTGATTTTGAAAAGTAGGTAACCAAACAAAATTTTGAGATTTTTTTTAAAAAAAATTTGTTTAGTTTGATTACTCTTGAAAATTTATTTGTAGAGAATTTTTTCTAAAATTTTTTATGAAAAACAAACCAAACAAGACCTTTATTGCGCTGCTGAGGATAATACATAACACTTTATGATTGTTGAAAATTAATGTAATTAACCAATAAATAAAATTAATATACTTTTTAATATGAAATTCACATTTTTTTTTACCAATTCTGTCTTGCATTTTGCCCACATTTTTTATTGTGGACAAATTCATTTGGGATAAAATATTGGGTCATGATTAAAAAATAATAGTGTCAAAAAGTTATAATAATTTCAACACATTATTTACATGCCTACAAATATATTTTTTACATGTTTTAATATATATTTTTTACATGTTTTAATATATTATTTACACATTTTCAGTATTAACAACAACCTTATGCGTTGTCTTAAGCATTTTCTTGAAAGGTTAGAAAAATTACAATGAAAGAAAAGACTAAAATTAACTTAAAATAAATGCTTATTCATAAAAATGTTAACTTAGGAATCAATTCATCCTACGCATGAGATTTTGTTTGTCGCATGTTATATTATCTCTTTAATTAATATTACATAAACTTAATAATTGCTAGTTCTCTCACTGTCCCTACCATGTCTATGGTTTTTGCAAACCCATTCCTACCATGCTGTCATTTTTAATGAGTGCAACTAAAAAATCCTATTTTGTTTCATAACTTTTACTTAATCACACTTCTATATTTAAAAGAAATTGTAAATATTAAGAAATTGTAAATATTTGAAATGAGTATTGCTATTTAAATTCAAAAGTTATATTCATTTTTTAAACCCAATGAAATGATAGTCAATTAAAATATATAAGGTAATTTTATCCCGTAAATTTTTTTTAATCATTAGTTAATCATCTCTCTTATACATCATTGATTTAAAAAATATATCTAAAAAACAAATTTATATATTATTTTTCATTTTGAATTATTTCTTTTGATTTCAAATTCTTCTAAAATATTTGTGCGATTTTATTAACCTTTACTTATTGATCACCGGAGAGGGGAGGGCACAACAAGGCACATTATTATTCTTTCTTCAACACTTGACAGAGCAGTCAAAGTTTCCCACACTCTTCAATCTGATACACCACCCAACACAACACAATACACACCACTCTCCACTCCACTCTGACCCAAAACACAAATACCCAACCAACATAACAACAACAAACAATACACCACTGACAAACTTCTCAATTATTTCTTCTCGTACACACACAACCACACTCTCTGACTCAGACTACACAGACAGACACAGAGACAGAGAGAGAAATGGAGGAGAGGCCGGAAACAGAGCTGATTTCGATACCGGCGACGCCGCGAGCATCGACTCCGGAGATTCAGACGCCGTCGGGACAGAGGTCGCCGAGGCCTCCGCATGCGGCGGCGTCGAAAGAAGCGAAGTCGTGGACTCCGACGTCATTCATATCGCCTCGGTTCCTGAGCCCGATTGGGACTCCGATGAAGAGAGTGTTGATTAACATGAAGGGTTATTTGGAGGAGGTTGGGCATCTCACGAAGCTCAATCCTCAGGACGCTTGGCTTCCCATTACCGAGTCTCGCAACGGCAACGCCCACTACGCCGCCTTCCACAACCTCAACGCCGGCGTCGGATTCCAGGCCCTTGTCTTGCCCGTCGCCTTCTCTTTCCTCGGCTGGTACTCTCTCTCTCTCTCTGCGAATCCCCATTTCATTATTGGGGATTTGAAATGAAATGGGTATTTGTTTGTTTGATTAATGCTCTATGCAAATTAACAAATCTACAATTTTTTCATACTGAGAGTCCTAAGTTTGTTTAATGTGTGGCATATTAGTTAGTAAAAAAGAGAGTTCGTAAGATTTGTTAGTTTTGAGTATCATTTTCCTATTTGTTTTTGTGAAGTTTATGTTTTGATTGTTTGTAGCAATTCTTTTTTTTTTTTTTGGAATTTTAGTTTCAAGCTAAAGTGAACTCTGTTTGCATCAAGAGAATACTTAGAACCCAAAATCTCTTCAAATCTCTTCAAATATTAAGAGCATCTCCAACGGTTACTCAGATTTTTCATCAAATTTGAATAAAAAATAACTCATTTTACCAATTTGATACCACTCGCTCCAACGGTGTACTTTCATCAAATTTGTACCAGGGCAACCGGTTGGTCGACCGGTTAAGCGAATTTTTTTTTTTTTTTTTTTTGATATTTTTTTTGAACTTTTTGAACTTTTTGAACCTTTTAGTGGTCTGGGTATCCAGTCCAATGGACTGAGTAATCCGGGACCAATCCCACTGTTCAGTTGGGGCGTTCCAATTAAAGCCATGACAAAAGCCCGTATAGACTGGACCCAAGAAATTGTTTACAGCCTACGAGGTTTCGAACGTAATACCTTGGAGGTAGCACACCCCAATCCCAAGCCTTGACCACCACGCCAACCGCTCGGGGTTATCCAACCAAAACCAACGGGCTAGATAGATGGAGGGATCCTTAGATTATACGAAGCAAATTTAAATAATTCAGAGATGCGATGTGAAATATGTCTTTGCTTTCTCTCTGTATGTTTAACTATATAAAGTTGATTTTTCTTTTTCTTTTGGTGTTTAATTGATTAAAGGAGATGGGTTGTGGGTCTAACTGGAGATCCTTCTTGTTTTGCTCTTTTTCGAATTGCATAATGGATTTGATTTGAATGGAATGGAAGAAAGAGACATCCTTTGAGGCATCTCTTTTCGTTCCTTTCATCTTTTGCTTTTTCTCACAATCTAAAATTATTTTACAGACAACTACACCACGTTACTGGGCCCTCTGTTTTTGCTTTTTTTCATGTCACATTATCCATTTTTAATTACTATGAGAAGCAATTTTTTTAAGACCAATCTCTGCTTTCATTGAATTCCCCACCTACAGTTTTCCCTTCAAAATTTTTATTTTTTATTTTTCATTTATGTTCAGAACATTGGACTGGTTCAAATATGATTTTTGCAAATTTTTCTTTCAAAAATTTTGGGCTCTATTAGAACGCAGATGAAAATAATTTTGTTCACTCATTTTTATGATCTTTGAACATTTAGCCACTTCATCGTTGGTTCTTCCATGTTTGTTCATGGCATTGAAAGAACCAAAAGGGGAGGCTTGTAATGTTCACTCGTCATAAAGGTGAGAAACAAAATAAGTCTTGAACCCCACGTTTTATTGCCAAAACTTTTAGAAGATCATAGTTCAATTAAGTATTCTAGTAAGATATAGTGTTTTAGGAATTCGCAAACAATGATGTGTATATATATATATTTTTATATATATCATAGCATAATTGTCCTTGTGACATGACGTTATAATCACTCTTTAACATTTCTATTTGAAATGGGACCTCTATTATGGTGTTAAGTAGGAATGGGCATGCCAATCAGATTTTTTATTTGGTTTGTTGTAGTTTTGTACCCATATCAAAGACTACATTTCAGGTTCGTTGCTTGATATCCTAATTTACAGTTCACTCTGCTTTCTGTGGTCGTAAATCCAAAGCAATCATTCTTCACTTCAAAGTAAAATATCATACGAAATTTGGTTCTTCATCCATATAGGGAAGGTACCTTTTTCCTAAAATCTGCTACGCTATCAAGTTTGAGCTGCTTATGTGATAATTGAATGGTTCCAATCCACAAAACAGTGAAGAAAATAAATCAAAGACAAGACATACGTGGTTTAGTGCCTAACGGCCTAAACCCTACACCCTTCCATAAAAGTCTCGTTACACTAATAATACAAGACACCTCACAATAGCTTAGTATCTACATCCCTTCTAGTATTAGATGCTAATGCATTGAATTGATTGTACATTCCAAAGTTTGTAGTCCTGTAATATAAATGTGCTTCTTATGTAAGGAGTTCAAATTTTTATAATAATTTGTCGCTTTGATAAATATCTTGCTCATAGTTTGTTTTGACGTTGGTGGAGTTTTTCGTTAGTTATGGTTATGGGCCCTCCTCCATATATGGAGTGGTCAAGCTATGTCGAAACCTTTGCTAACATCTCAATCTCTAATATATTGTGCAACTTTTTCATTAGATTAGATTTAAATGGAAAAGAGACATCCTTGTGGCAAGTCATTTCATCTCTTCAATCTTCTATTTTTTGGTTACCATGACTGCAATTATTTCATAGTTATGTCATCCTTCTAGGGGCCACTCGTAAAGATTATCTTCTCATCGAAAAAATAATTGTGTTTTTCTTTTGTAGAAAGAGGAATGGGGCCTACATTTCATGCTTGAGTGTTGCAACAGAACTTCTCAATAATACCCATTTCTAATCATTTGTAATAGTAACTCAAAGCACTTTGCCAGAAAAAGAATTTGATGCTAATTAAGAACTTGTGCTTTACATGGATATTTTATATATTTTCACTAGAAATGATAATTGTGATAATAATAAGTGACAGAGCATGCTAAATCAAACCGAGTAATATTTAGGCTCCGTTTGGTGGAGCTTTTAAAATATAGTTCCACACTCATTTTTGAGTGTGGTGTTTGTTTAGCATTTTCAAAAATTAATTCCACATTCACTTTTGAAACTCTTTTCAAGGCAGGAAAATTTAGACTAACTGGTCGTCCCACCGGTCGTCCCACCGGTTGATTGGAACAGTGTTCGGTTTTTGTTTTTGTTTTTTTTTGTTTTTGCACCTGTTATTTTTATATTACAAAAAAAAATTATTTGTGAATTTTTTTTAAAATTTTTTATGAGCTTTGAATAGATTTTTGGATTGTGTGATTGGTTATGAGTTGTAATTTTTTGTATCAAATATCATATATTACATCACTCAATTCAAACTCAATTTAAAACTCTTTTTAAAATTCATAACCATACAAATTTTTCACATTCAAATCATAATTTCAAAACTCACAAACTCAAAATACAACTCTATTCTTAAATAATAATTCTAAAATTCTACCAAACACTACCTTAGTTTTGTTTTTGGATACTTGTTTGGTTTTGGAAAGAACCTGGATGAGGGTATGGGTAACAAAAAAACCACTTTTATTATGGTTGTTGCATTTGCAAATGGGTCCCCTCTATACTCATGTGCGCATACGGGTGGTAGGTCAGTCAGGTTTTTCATTTTATTCATCTAGGTGTAATACTTGCTGATAAATGAATCCATTTTGACCTTTTATTCTGTGTGGTATCTCAACTACAACGTAAAAAAAATAAAAAAAAGAAAGCAAGAATGAGTACAACCATTCCTATACTTGAAAATATTTCCATTTTATATAATATTATTACCAATATAGAAAATTTGGAGAAAAGAAAGAAATAAATAAAACAACTTGTTGGCCAATTTTTATGTTTGTGAGCCTTTTAGTCATGGCACTAAGGAAAAGAACAAACGGAAAACATTGGTTAATCGCCTTGGCTTTCCTATATCAATTATTTTTCTAGCTTACTTGGGATTTTGGGGTACATTTCTAAACATGTACTTTTCTATTGGTGTTCTACAGGAGTTGGGGAATACTTTCTTTGACGATAGCCTACTTCTGGCAACTTTACACCCTCTGGATTCTGGTTCAGCTACACGAAGCAGTGCCCGGGAAGAGGTACAACAGATATGTGGAGCTTGCACAAGCTGCATTTGGTGAGATCAAATTCCATGCCCATCTTTTAGTTACAATCAATTCATCACCTAACCGGTATTTTCAAACTATTAACAAATTGCTTATAGCCATGAATACAATGGGGGGACTAAACTGGATGTGCTTTTTAAAAAAAAAAACAAACTGCTTATTGTAATCTCAACATATTTTTGCATGTTGATCTAATAAAATAAAAAACTTGAGAATGATCGGTCATTAAACAAGATACTTATAATTCTTTACATCCTATTTGTCTATGGTTCATTTGCATTACTTTTGCTTTTTCAGGGGAAAGATTAGGTGTCTGGCTTGCTCTCTTCCCTACAGTTTATTTGTCAGCGGGGACGGCAACAGCTTTGATTCTTATAGGAGGGGAGACGATGAAACTGTTCTTCCAGATAGTTTGTGGGCCCCTATGTTCATCAAACCCTCTATCGACAGTGGAGTGGTATCTGGTCTTCACGTCCCTGTGCATCGTATTGTCCCAACTCCCGAACCTCAACTCAATTTCAGGACTCTCTCTCATTGGGGCAATCACAGCCATTACTTACTCAACTATGGTGTGGGTTCTTTCAGTGAGTCAACCAAGGCCGCCCTCAATCTCTTACGAACCCCTTTCATTACCTTCCTTTTCAGCCTCTGTCTTTTCATTTTTTAATGCACTTGGAATTGTCGCGTTTGCATTCAGGGGACACAATCTAGCCTTGGAGATTCAGGTATGCACTCTCAAGATCTAATTTGGTAAAATTTAATCCCTCTCGTGAAACAATTCCCAGAATATTTTTATAGATTGAAATAAGCATTTTTGTCATTGAAAGAGTTTCATGTGGTATTTTTCAGGCAACAATGCCATCCACTTTCAAACACCCGGCTCACGTGCCCATGTGGAGAGGAGCCAAAGTTGCCTATTTCCTTATCGCGATGTGTGTGTTCCCTATTGCTATTGGAGGTTTTTGGGCCTATGGAAACCTTGTAAGTGTACTGTCATTCTTTTCTCTCATGTCTACACATTAAAAGCCCGAATAAATGTGACCACCACCTAATAGCATGTTGATGCCAAAAGCAAAACGCCATAACTCCATCCTTTTGAAGATTTTACTTAAGAGAACTAATGATGTGTACAATACTTGAATTCTAGTATACAACACTTCAAAGACTCATTTAACATTATAGGTGTCATTAAGTTCTTGTCTAGTCTCAACCACATAAATGTGTGTTGCATTTGTTGATGATTAAATTCAGCATTTTAACTGTTTCTTTCTTGTAGATGCCTTCGGGAGGCATTCTCAACGCCTTGTTTGCGTTTCACAGTCACGACATCCCAAGAGGACTTCTTGCCATGACATTCCTTCTAGTTGTGTTCAACTGTCTGTGTAGCTTCCAAATATATTCAATGCCTGTTTTCGACAGTTTTGAAGCCGGTTACACCAGCAGAACCAACCGCCCCTGCTCAATCTGGGTCAGGTCTGGCTTCCGGGTTTTTTATGGATTCATCTCTTTCTTCATTGGAGTGGCGCTTCCATTCCTGTCTAGTATTGCCGGTTTGTTAGGTGGACTCACTCTTCCGGTCACATTCGCGTACCCTTGCTTCATGTGGGTTCTGATAAAGAAGCCAACAAAGTTCAGCTTCAACTGGTATTTTAATTGGATTCTGGGATGGTTGGGGATTGCATTCAGCTTGGCCTTTTCAATTGGAGGAATTTGGAGTATGGTAAACAGTGGCCTCAAGCTCAAATTCTTTAAGCCCAATTAAGATTAAAAGTATGAGCTCAAATAATTTTAATAATTAGTATTTAATGTATGCGTTTTCCTTTGTGTATGGTATTGTTGGATGTTGAGTTTGTTCTCTTGTATTTAATGAAGATTTCCTATCTGTTTGGCACCCGTCTCTCTCCAAATATATATATATATATATTGTTTACCATTTTCAGACCCCTTCTGAAAAGAATTTGGTGAACTGGGTTGTCTTTCTGATTGGGTTTTATTAATCATATATGGACATTTTGAACAGATACACGTTAAACCTTATCCTTGAACAGACTTGCGTGAAGCCATTACTACTGCCTCTATCACTGTGCTTTCATTGTTATCCCATGGCTTGTTCACATGAGTAATTTTAACAGAGAATTTGGAAGAACACGGAGAGTGGCATAATTAGACATCAACTCTACTAACAGATGATTTCAAACATGTCTGATTTTTTAAATAAAAACAAAAACTATTTTACCAATTAAACTGAGTTTTCTTTTATTGATACTCGAAATTTTAAAATTAATAAAATTCATCCTAATTGTAAATTTTCATCACACGTGTATATTGTACAGGGGAATAGGCCTCTTTTGGGGGGAAATACAAACAAGCTACATCATGGGAGAAACAAATTCCAGCCATGTCAGACTCTGGTGGTGATGATATGTCAACAGCGGTGGTCTAGGAACACCCAAAAAAACATCTCGATTAACACCAGCAAGTCAGCACAGTAAGTCCCCGGATGATTCAGCATTAGCAAAAGCTGAATCATCAAAAGGGCATTAGTACTAGCAGCCACATGAGTCACAAATATGAAGTAAACGACTTGGTCTCTTCTTTCTTCCTCTTGCTACTCCTTGCCTCTTCTGAAAAGTGACTTTGACCAAATAGAGTATCCTTCCTCAAAAGTGACTTTGACCAAATAGAGTATCCTTCCGTATAGACTATGATTCTTCCCTCTCGCGTTGTGGGCTTTGATGGAAAAAAAGAAAGAGAATACCGTTGCGTATAAAGAGATCAATGGAAAGCGAATTCCTTTGTTATAGGATTGTAGTCCCATTCTTGCTTGTTCTTTATGGGGTTCGTGGCAGAATTGGGTTTGACTCCCATAACTATAAGCTGAAGCAGAGGCTTAACCAAGAGGGAAAATCCCGTTTGCTAGTCCAAATTTTCCGTGACTCGAGTGGCCCAAAATCCTAAAACGACGTCGTTTTGAGATTTTTTTTTTTCCTTTTCTTCATTCTTTCCGACTCAACACAACATCATCACAGAAGAAGACAAGCACAGCACCATCATCATCAATAACCAACAAATCATCATCAACACAGCACCATCATCATCAACAAATCAAACCCACCTCCACACACACACAGATCTGGAAAATCAAAAACAGATTTGGAAGCCAAATCGATGAAACACACCCATACACACGGTGGCAACGGAGTGGAAGAGGAAGAGGCGACGGAGGCGGCAACGGAGTGGATTTCGTTTCTCCCTTTCGTTTCTTCCTTTCTCCCTCCCTCACTCTGTTTCGTTTCACATATAAAAGAGTAAAAAAAAAAAAATCAAAACGCTGTCGTTTTAAATTCGGGACATTCGGGCCTAATGAGTTTCGAGCCCTCAAGCATTTCTGTTTGTTTGTTTGTTTTTTTTTATAGATATACCAATGACAATAGCAGTCCACCACCACCATATCATATGTGCATGCGTGCATGCGCTAGGACTATAACAAATAATACTTTTCTAACCAAAATGTATAAATATAAGACACTTATGCCCCGTTTGGTTTCCGAGTTATGGCTCGAACTGGAATTCCAAGTTATGGCTCCAGACTGGACTCACAGTGAACTCTCTCACACTAAACTCAAGTTTGTTTTCCTCTTTGACCTTGAAACTCATAGTCCCAACGAACTAAACGCCTCACATGAATGGATTCGTGTCTGAGCTGAGAGATAATATTAAGAAAATAATCTGTTTGGCTAATATTAAGAAAATAATCCGCCTGGCTTAAGAATGACCAGTCATCCAAGGATGTTCGGCCGAATAATCGACCGATCAACCGGTCAACTATATATATATATTTACTTGTTGGACATTTTTTTTGAACATTAATGTTTAATATTTTTTTGTTAAGTAAAAATTATAATTTTATTTGTTTTATTATTTTATATAAAAATAATTTAACAACCCTCATACTATAATTATCATCAAAACAAACACAATTTTATTCATCTCCACATTATCAATCCCCTTCATTCTATCTCTGAAAACAAACGTTGCCTTAGACACATAACAAAAATAACCCAAAAGCAATACTAATATAATGAAAGGGAAGAGAAATGCCTCATTCGTCATTTTATCACCCCCAATTACACTTCGGATGAGGTGACAAACATTACCAACTAATCAACTCTATTCAAACCCTTCTCCCTTCTTTCAAAATTATTTGCCATCTCCCTCCGTACAAAATTATTTGCTATCTTATTAGAGCATCTCCAATACACTAGGCATATATTACTTGTTAGTTAAAATGTCTAGTGTGATTCATTTTTTTCAATTCCAATGCACTAGGCATATGATTAGGCATTTTGGCTCAACTCATATTCACTAGCTACATGTAGCTAGCCTTCAACGCTAGGCAAAATGTATTCAATCATTAGGATCATTTCCCTCCATCTTTGTTGTTGACGTGACATTTTATAAAATTAATAGTATTTGAATAAATAGCTAAAATAAAGAACATGATTGGAGTAAAAACATAAAACAGTTGATAGGCAAAATAAAATATATACTTTATAGTAATATTTAGATAGGTAAAATGCCTACTACCGTTGGAGATGCTCTTAGAAGTGCAATGGGAGGTAATGAAATGGAAATGGAAATGAAGCAAATCTCAAAATGGAAACAGGGGATTCCATCAAATAAACCAAAGGTCGGTGGACTGTCAGTCTAAGGCTTTCTTAAGTCACAAGTGATAACCCATTTTGTTTTGTGCCATTGATTACTCAGTAGTTTGGCAGCTCTAGTAAATATTTTCGGTTGCTCCCACCAATTTTTTTTTGAAGAGCCCCAGTTACAGTGGCAAATTCCTTGACAGTAGTGTTTCAGAGTAACTTGCATACGCATAAACAAAATACCTTCTTTCCACGCCATTCTTAACACCACTTTCATTATAAAAAAATAAAAAAACCTATTTTAGTCTAGCATTTGAAGAGCAGGATACTAGAAAAAGTTTAAGACTCCATTTTCTTATTAAAGCACCCGATGTGCCACTCCAATAATAAGTTTTCACTTTAATTCTAATTTCAAATAAAAAAATCACCAATTATTATACCGCCATTAATCGAACCTACAAGATAATAAAAAGGAAAGAAAAAGAACACTAACAACAACAACAACAACAAAAACAAAGAGGCAATGACTGGGGCAATGCAGAATTAATAACAAAATTAAAACACAAGTCCATATGAACTCTCTGTTCTTGTAGTGCAAACAAAAACAAACAAGTACTTTAAAAAAGACTGATCTTTTGTTTCCACTATGTTCGAGCAACCCAATTAAAAAAAAATTAAAATTAAAAATGACACTCAAATATCTGAACTGACAAATATATATTTATATATAACCGACACAAACATTAACAACATCCACTGAAAAAGACAAGTAAGAAGGCCCTTCTTGTTGTCTTTGCCTTTCCTCCCAAAAACTAAAAGCAAACAAAAAAGCAGATTACATATAAAGCGAAATTATTACTTGAGACCTTTGCCTGGAGTGGAAATAGCAAGATCTGGCCAACCAAAGCAATCCCCATCTGCTAACCCCCCTCCTTCCAGACCGCTCACCTGCCACGTGTTGCAACCAGGAATCACTCCCCCTGAAACACCACCTCCATCCTCCACATGCCAAACCCCAGCCCCGAGTCCAAAACCCATTTCACGAAACCCAGACCCAGTTTCAACACCAAACCCACCCAACCCAAAAAACCCACCTCCACCCGGGTTCAGCAACGACGTGAAGCTTTCGGACTCGGGTACACTCTCGTTCAGATTCACATCAACACACAACGGCGGAGAAGCCGTCTCGGTTTTGACGCCGGGTACGATTGTAATCGGGTTGACGGATGTCGGGTCGTGGGTCGAAGTAGAAGAGGAAGACGCTGTAGTGGCGGAGGAGCGGAAGCGCTTGTTGGGATTCTTGCGTGTGGCGCCGCCGACTGGGACGTTGCGGAGGGTGCCGCCACGGGTCCAGTAGCGGCGGCAGGACTTGCAGAAGTGCCGGGGCTGAGAGAGGTTGTAGTTGTTGTAGTAGCAGAACTTGGTGTTGGGTGAGTCGCATCTTGGACATGGGAGGTGCTCCGGCTCCGGCGGATACGTGGCACTGTGTTGTGGCTTTGCTTGTCTCCGGTCGCCGGATTCCGACGGCATGCTGTCTTGTTTCGTTTTGTTCGGTTTGTTTGGTTAGAAGCTACGCTAATGGGTTTTAAAGGAGAGACTAGAAAGTGTAAGAAAGAGAGACGAAGAGAGAAGAAGGGGAGAATGAACAGGGCTCTCTGTCTTGGAAGTATAGAGCGAGTTTTATATTAGGAGAGAGAGAGTGCCTGTGTAGAGAGAGATAGGGAGAGTACAAATGCTTGGCTTCCAATTGCATAAGCCTCGTTTGGTAATTTTAGGCCATGCCTCCGTTTGAGAAGGGGGTTGAATTTTTGAATTTTTAATTTTTTAATTTTTGATAATTTTTGTTTGAAATGTTTTAAATAAATGTATTTTTTTTATTTTTTTAGATTAAAAAATTGAGAAAAAAAATATAGATGTTTCGATTAGTTTTTTGATTTTTCAACTTTTTGACTTTTTATGAAAAAAATGTGTATTAAAAAATTGTATAAATTAGTGTGTAGGGGAAAATTAGAATTGAGAGTTGTGCAGTCGCAATTTTTGACTTTTGGTGAATAGTGATAACTTTTTAACTTTTTGAGTAACTTTTTAAACTTTTTTTCAACTTGCTAAACTTGACCTTAGTCTGGGATAAAAAGCTTGGTTTGAGAATGACTTTTTGGGTTTTTTGACTTTTTTTGTAAGAGAAGAATGTAATGATTATGAGTTTGATGTGATATTTTGTTTGTTGTGACTAAAATAAAAAATAATTATTTAGTATAATAAAAAATAAATAATAAAAAAAATTAAAAAGATATAATATCATATTTAAATCATAATCATTTTATAATTTGTTTGGGACGTGAGTTGATTTTTTTACTATTTTAACTTAGGGTTAAAAAGTGAGTGCTTGGGAAGTTACTATTTTAGTAAGCTATTTTAAGAGCATAATTTTTTTGTGTTTTGGAAGATAGTTAATTTTTTTTTATAGTTGGATGTGATGTTTGTGAGAGAAAAAATGAAATGATTATAGTTTTGATATAACATTTTGTCTTATTGACTATTTTAGCCTATTTTGTCATTTAGTGCTATTTTAGTAAAAGAAAAGCTAAAAACAAACTACTTCCCAAACACTCCAAGTGTCGTTTAGGATAGACTTTTTGATTTTTTTGACTTTTGTGAGAGAAAAAATGAAATGATTATAATTTGGAGGTGACATTTTGTCTTATATGACTAAAATAGCCTATTTTGTCCTATATGATTATTTTAACTCAAACTAGTATCCCAAACGGGACTCATTTTTTCTATCACAAAAGTTAAAAGAAAAATAAAAGTCTATTCCAAACGAAATTTTTTAGTCTCAGACTAAAATAATAAAAAAATCAACTCACATTCCAAACGAAAGTTTAGTGCTGAGCACACACTACTTTAGCACATTTTTTTTTATTTAAATTACCTAATTTTTTATTTAGATTTTTTCATTTTTTTATTACATTACACATTTTTATAAAAAATTAAAAATTATATTTATTTGTATAATTTTAAATAAATTTTTAATAAAGAATATATATATATATATTATAATGTCTCTATTAAAAAGGTAAATTTTCAAAACAACTCATATAAAGAGGTTGTTTGGCTTAAAAAAATTTAAAAAATCAAATCAAATTATAACATAATTCTTTACTCTCTTTTTTAATAGTTTTTTGTAAATCATAAAAAAAAAAAAAAAATCAATAAGGTTGTTTTAAGTATGACTTATAAATCATTTTTTTTTGTTCATTATAAAAAGACATACAAAAAAATAATAATAATAAAAATATGACATGATTCAAATAAACTAATAAAAAATTAATTTTTTTTAGATATTGTCAAACGAGACCTAAGATAGTCAATTCTCAAACAAATTTTCAATAAAAATTAAAATTTACTTTGAAACAAGTTATATGGCATAATTTAAAATTAATACTATAATATGAGTCTATGTAAAGAAATTACTATCCATTAATGTATTTTGTGAAAAATTTTAAAATATTTTTTCTCAATTTATATATTTTGTTCAATACAGCATTATCTACGAGTAGATTACTTGTCTGAGTACCCTTGAATTTTGAGGGGATCACACAATTCAAACTAAAATTTTTAATCAAGACAATTGATAGTTTTACGCAATTTTTTTTCCCCCTTTTTGAACGAAATAAAAAAAAGTTTTATGGGGATATTATAGTATTTGTAGATCCTGACTATGAGAGAACCGGTTGTCAGCCAGAATCGCTAGTTCTACTTGATTAACTAAAATCTTTGCAAAGTCGAAGGTACTATTTAGGTTTAATTTAAGTTATTTTAATATATTTGGTTCAGCTTAATAATACAGTTTATAATTTTTTGTAAGTCAAAAATCAATTTATTCTTTAAGTGAGGAATGAGAAACTTAATTTAAAAGTCAAAAATCAGCTTAGGTTCACAGTTATAAGTTGTTAAGGTATAAAGTATAATCACTTTCCCACAGCTCTACCAAACGTGACCAAAGTATGTCAAATTTGTAAAATGGCTTAAACCTCTACTGATGACTCGTTTGGGGAGTGGCTATTTTAGTCAAAAAGTCAAAAAGTTACTAAAAGTTGTCACATCACTTCTCTACTTTTCTGCATATCTTTTCGTAAAAAGTCAAAAAATTACTAAAATAGCTTGTTCTCCAACGAAGCCTGAATTCAAATAATTTTACTAACAAGTTTTGAAATGTTCTATTTTATTTTATTTTAACTTTAATACTAGTCAATACCGAACTGTTATACTAATAATTGTCCCTAAAATGACAAGTAATAATATACAAATAAAAAAATTATACAAAATATTCATATATAATGATCTAACTCAATAGGAATCATTTGCTTTAAAATAAAGCACCCAAAATATTTATAATAATGTTACTAGTATTATTTTTATGATGTGTTTTGTATAAATTTTATGTATAAATAAAAAAAAATTAAAATGACAAATGCAAGTTATTTTATTTATTTATTTTGTCTGGTAAAATGACTAAATTATAGTATATTACTAAAGATTTTAAAAATTCTACTAAATTTTTTAACAAAGGTCTTATATAGGTATAAGACCTACATTATATAAATTCTATATGAATCTCACACCCATGCGAAATATCTGTTAAAACTTTTGGTAAATTTGTTTTGCACTTGTGATATGCCTCGTGCCCTACCCAAAGATTTGGACAGCGGAAACCAAACAACTAGTTCATTATCAATCTCACCATGTGACACAACAATTCATTAAGAATGTGGAGTAATTGATTTGGGTAGTAATAAGTGTTAGGTGAAGAGAAACAATTAGCCATGAAGTGAATGGCGGCAACCTTACTTATTAATTATTTATGAATAATGCTATATGTATTAATTAATATATTAATTAGTATATTAATTGATGATGTAATATAATTTAAGAGATTTTTGGTATTTATAATTTGATTAATGAGTAGAGTCAATAATAATGTCATAACTAGTGTTGGTACACTAGTTTGTAAACTAATTGGTGCATGTAGCACCACCGATTATTTATTGCATGTGTGTGAGTGATTTTCTGACCACACTGCCCGCTTAATAACCAGCTGGAGAGCACCGGCAGAATAGATGGCACCTGGCTGACCTGTAATAGAAAAAGAAGATTCCGGCGTTGGTTCATCCACCCGGGGGCACTCCGACGATCAAGTCTGTATATCTCTCAAAGATAAATCAAGTGCTAAACTCACAAGCTTGAGTATCAAAAAGCATACCTTGACCCACAGGGGTGCCTCTCTTTTATAGCCAACATAAACCTAGTCTCACTAGAAGCCTGACTTCTATGGACTCTCATTCAATGCTTACTTTGGATTTCACAAGAGATAAAGATAAACTCCCTAAGAGTTTTATCCTTATCTTACCAAAGTTCCCTCTTTACTCTAGGACTCTTGCCCCTTATCCATTTATCTCGGATTTCGATATCTTCGGAGATAACTTCGGTCTTGCCGAGATAACCTCGGCGTCACAACCAAGACACGTGGCACCTCGGCTGACATGTTGGCGTCACCTTGCCACGCATTGGTATTCAGAAAATACATCCCCACAACTGCCCCCTAGGTTCTATTACCTCGGCATCCTGAGGTGATGGAGCCTATATCTGTATTTTCTTCCAGTAAATCGGCTTAAAATTTGACAGCCGAGATCATTCATTTCAGGCCAACATGCTTTCCCTAAAAAATCAAGATTTTTAAGGACCTTCTCACGCGCATGAGCTATCATGCCCTTCAACCCAACCGTTTTAGCCACGCGTTTCCCTCTTACTGGTCCGTACACGTGACGCGCCTGTTAGCCGCCTCTTTCTTCATGTGCGCCGTCTGACGCCCTCGTTCTTCTAGGCGTATTGATTGCTTTTGCCGCCATTTCTGTTTAATCAAAAACTTTTTCCTTTTTTTTCCGTCTCTTCACTTTTTCATTCGAATCTCCTGCAATCTCTCTAGCTTTCGAAACCCTCCATCGCTCAAGCTTCCAAAGCTCTGCAACCTTCTCCGTTCACCCCTTCCAGCGAGATTTCCATCGGTCTTCTGCTCCTGCAACCGTCGTAGGACATCGGCAAATCCCTTTCCGGCTTCCCTTTTTCTGGTAAGCTACTGTTCTTTTCGTTTTCAATTCCCTGATGTTTCTTCTTCTTTTTTTTTTTTTCTATCGCCATTACTGTACTGTTTCGAGCTTTTTTTAATTCATAAATCGTACATCTGAATGCATTCATCCATGATTTTATCTTTGCCCACATTTTGCACACACACACTGTTTCACCATTTCTTTGCACTTTTGCCACTATTCTTGGCCATATACTCTTGTATTCTTCATGTTCTTGATAGCCCATCTCAGTTCTTGTTTCTGAAACTTCGTTTTTGTTTTCTGTTTTTTGCATCTTTTCTAGATTCTTGCTTTCAATCCGTGTTTCCATAGATTTAGGTCCGGGATTTGTCTGTAGAACCCATAACTTAGGAAAAAACTGAAACCTGCACCTACCTTATTGTTCGCCGAGGTCCCAATAACCTTTTAAAAACATCTTCTGAGACCCACCTTCTAAGATTAAGCCGATATCATGGGTATGTGGAAACATAGGGTAAGTACCTCCTCCAAACTAGAATACTTTAGACAGGAGTTTGAGATCCCAACCGACGTCCATTTGAGGTTGGCTGGGGATGATGACTCCATGATGTAGGCCGAAAGGTACCCC